GGGACTGGGGCAATCTCGATGACGATGATCCTGCTGATGACAGTTCCAACATCCTGAAGGCCTGGGGCCGGCCGTGGGCGCTGGAGGCGCCGCTGCTGGGGTCAGTGCTGGCCTTGCAGCTGCTGGTGGTTCGGCCCGTGGTGGTCGTCTCGCTGGACTGCTTGCCCTCTCTCGAGATGGTGTCCTTGGCCTGCGCCTCTGCCGTTCCTGCGAGTAGTCCCTATCTCTGGATGGGGTGCGTTCGCGGGGTTGACGTGAGGCGGTAGTCAAGGCAGCGATAGCCTCGAGGAGACTCCTATCCCGCACTGGAGTCCTGTCCCGAACTTCCCGTCGGTCGGGAGATAAATCAAATGAGATCGAGCGGGCCGAGTTAGACCTCGGAAGATAGCCATCAACTCCGGCTGGGGAATGAGTTCGTCGGCCAAAGGACCTCGATGATTCGCGAGGGCAAAATGCGAGGCTCGGACACACCGAATTCTCCGGTTTCGGTGGAGGCCGCCGTTCCTCATTGCTCTTGAGGATTTTCTCTACTCGAAGAGCCGACGTTTCGAGCTCATCGAGGGACATTTCCTCCCGGAAGGGGATCACCAGCTGGTAGGCGGGAAGAAGTTTGCGATAAATTTCCGCCACCTGTTCTCCGATAGACCAGGGGGGACTTAGCCTCGAGAAGTATCCTCGCATGCACGCGATGTAACTGCCTACGAGTTCGCCCTCCGCTTGAGTGCGACGACTTATCTCATCTCGAAGAGCTCCCTGGTAGTTGGGGTGCGCGAAGTGCCGTCGAAAAGCCGCTCGAGCTTCCAGCCAGGTCTGGAACTCGTGATAACGCCCGCGATACCACACGAGCGCGCTTCCTTCCAGGCAGAACAAGAGCGCGTGGAGGAAATCTCCGTCTCTCATGGGGATGAACGATCGGCCTTCGTCCACCCGAGCGAGGAATAACTCCACATCTTCGTGGGACGCGCCTGTGAAACGAAGGTTCCATTATCGCATGTGCTGGAGAAGCGCAGCGCGAGATACCGGGCGCTCTCCGTAGGCGTCGAACCCGTCATCATGATAGGCGTGTTCGCGATACGGCTCCTGATGCGGTAGCTCAGCTGGGGCACCATATCGAGGTTGGCCAGCTGAGAGGTCTCTCCCATAGGGAGGAATAAACTGAGCGAAGGCCGCTGTACGGGCCTGTGCTGCTGCCGAAGGTCCGCTGACATTCGGGATGCCTCCATGGGTAGCGGTCGTGATGACCGTCGGAGCTACCCCTGGGATAATTCGACCTGTCGAGGTGAGTTGTGCCCACGTCTCCGCATACCGGG